TTGGATTTGACTGGTTATCTCTGGGTTTGGCAAAATTACTAAAGGCCAAAAAAAGGATGTAAAGTTCCATTCAGTCTTCCTATCTTTGCTATGCTGTTAATGGTCTGGATCCTTTATACCCTTTTATAAGGTGGTCTGAAATTTGCTGACCCTTATTTAAAAGTTTTAGTTATTAGGATGTGCACTTGAATGGATATTAGTTACTTAAATCCGTGATGAACCTATGACAGCATTTGGGTACTCAGGAACTGCTGCAATAAATCAGTAATTGCAATTTGCTGTAAACTTTTGATAAGTGGTGGTAATTTGAAACTGCACTCAGCTGCTGGTTGAAAGTAAGTCAGTTATACTGAACCACAGGAAATTGCCAATAGTTGGTTGACCATTTTTGACCCACAAAAATGGCAATTTCCTATGGTTCAGCCTAATACATTTTTAAGTATAATCATTTACTCTAGAAATCCAAGCAAGAGTCTGATCAAGAAAACCCCAAATTACTGGATGAGGGAGGTACATATAATCTTATAAGGAAACATTAATTTTGTTTTTAAAAAGGGTGGAACACTTCAGAGTCCAATTCATCTATTACTATTTCAAGTACTAAAAAATGGTGCATAATAATACTCCTGGATAAACTATATGCAGCTTTTTATATGAGGAATTCTGTCAGTTTGCTTTTCTATTTCTTGAGAATTTGAAAAGATGTGGAAGTACAGAATGGGATTTACTATCTAACTTTTTCTGTATTTCATTTCATGTAGAGGGCTAGACTAGCTAAGGTCCTTTACAATATTAACGTAACTTGAGTCTTTTCATATGTGACACTGAGTAACACTTAACTATATTCCCAAGTACTCTCAACAGGAGTATACTGAATTAAAATGGTGTTTTATATGTGTCTATCCCAGACATTTCCAACTATGCTGTATGTAATCTAAAGGATATCAAAAGCAAGGGCAAAATTATTTTTCACTGACAGCCTTGAAGCTCCAATAAGAATGTTTTATGCCCGTTTTACTTACTGTCAAATCTATTTTTTTTCTAGAGTCTTTTCAGTACAAAAATTTTCCTGTAGTTTTTCTGGTTAAATCATTTTGTACTTAATTGTAGCCTGTAACTTTATACCTCAACTTCTTTGAGCTCCATTTTTCAACTTGCTGTTTTCAGGTTAAAAATGTCACACAAATATATTTGAAATTCCATGAATTGACACCACTAAGGTAACAGCAAGTATTAACATGTTCCAGATTATACCTTAACATTGGACTGTGTCTTCATGGGGTGAGGAATAATAGGTAACACAGGATAGCAGCTCTTCCTGTATGCTGTTGCTAAGGCAACAGTTGGCTCGAGGCAGATATACAGCACTCTCAAGGACAGGTCAACGCAAAGCAGAGCTTAGGTCATTTAAGTTGCCTGGTACTCAAGGTTACCCACAATTCAGGATTTTTTATATAATCCAAAAACTAGCATTCTAAATGTTTTTACTTTACCTCAAATTTACAGATTTTTTTTTTTTCTATTCTGTTCTTGGAAGTTTTTTGAGCCAGTTTCTAAATTTTCATTGGAATTAACATGTTTTGTTGTGGGCGGGGTCATTCATGCTCAATAAAACATGACGCCACTGCACACTTCTAAATTGCAAAACAACTTTTGTAGGTCATTATCAGCAGCAAGATGCCTTATAAATTCTCATTGAAACAACTCAGTATTCTAGCTTAAAATGTTGAAACTTAAGACTTGACTCTTTGAATGGAGCTCTCTGCCCGAGTTAATTTTTTTAAGAATTATTTCTGATGCAAGATTTTAGGGTAGGGCATAAATTTTCAGTGTGCTGAACACAATATAGCTTTTTAGCACATTCATGTTTAGGATTTTCCCTTGTGTTAAAATGTTACCTGATTTTTTCAATTCTCAGTTTTGCTTCTAGCTGTCTTCTACCCTTCTTGCTTCTGTTATAGAGCAGAGCTAATTAAGGATAGCGCAAGAAACCATATTACAAAGCTTCTAGAATCAATATATAGGTATGGGCTTATATTCCACCTATTTTCACATAAATTCTCAATTCTTGAATGGTTTGAGTCTTCTGGAATAACTAGACGATTTTTCTTGCCCATCATTTGGAAAATACTTGAAGGCGAAGAATTTGCTTAAAATTCTAAGAGTGGGCCTGGCTGGCATGGCTCAGTGGATGAACATCGACCTGTGTTCCAGGAGATCGGGGTTCGATTCCCAGTAAGGGCACATGCCCTAGTTGCAGGCTCCATCCCCAGTAGGGAGCATGCAGGAGGCAGCCAATCAGTGACTCATCATCGATGTTTCTGTCTTACCTCCCTCCCTCCCTCTGAAATCAATAAAGATAAATATTTTTTAAAATTCTAAGAGTGGGAAAAGATTTAAATTTAAGGACTACTCAGCCCATTTTCAACACCAGTTTTTATAAAGTACAGTGTAGGGCTCATTTAATGATGTCAACGCAGAGGTCCAGTGAAAACGAAAGGGAAGCAGCAAGGTAGAGAAATTAAACCTCTGATATGCCAGATCTGTTTAAAGCTATGGGTGAGAATTCCCCTAAAACATCTATTGAGGACTAATATATACAGAACCAAATTGCAGCAAACACAATAAATTAGAAGATACCCAGGGCTTAATTATAGTTTTGCTAGCTGTGTTACCTCAGTAATACTTGAGCTGGCTTTTTATTTCCTTATCCATAAAATGTGGAGGGACCCTCATAATTTTCAAGTTCACTGCTGCTCTTTTTCTTCCTAGCAGATAAGAAAGCCGAGCCCTAAGCACATAGATGGCTTGCTCAAAGGTGCCAGGCTATTATTGTAGAAGTTTGACTTGAACCCTGCACTTCCTACTCCCTTAGTGTGTTCAACTATTCCTTCCTCCTCTTAACACCATCAGACAAAGAAAAAGGCCCCAAGCTAGATGTGTAATGACAAGTGCCAGACTCACACCTCTGTACCACGAAGGAAAACACCTGGGTTATCAGATTTGTGGTACACACTGCAGAGGCTAACAGCATGGAACTCTGGGTTTCAGAAAAATCAGCCCTCTCAGCATGTTGCTTGGGGCAAGTTACTTAACCTCACTACAGCTTCCTTACTAGTAAAATCTGCTAAAGAACGCTAAGTACTATTGAGGTTCAGTAGGTCCTTGATTAATGTTTCATTCGGTGTTACAGTGATGAGATGCCACAGGAACTCAACTCTATCAATAGCCTATGGTCAAGTTAGTTTTGTTATACATGATTTCGCTTAAAAGTTGAGGAACCTATTGAGGACCTTAAGTGAGGACTTTTACTATACAGGGAAAATGCTTAGAACAGTGCTGGCACATTGTAAGTAGCTAATAAATGTTAACATTACACATCAAGTATTTTGTAAGAAAATACCATGAAAAGGATACAGATCATACTTGCATCAGTTACCTGTTGTGATTTAGAGCTCTCACATAGATGACTTTTCCCCCCAAGAAAAATGGTAGGCTTGCCTAAGAGCCTTCAATGAAATATGGATTCTACTTGACAAAGGTAAGCATAGAAGAAACAAAGCTGATTACTATGAAAGACAAATGTGCTGTTGTGCGACTTAGTATTAAAGTGGTTTCCATTGTCTTAATACTTAAAACAGGTATGCTATTTATATTACTCAAAAATACACCCAGTATATGAAGTTTTTCCTATTTACAGTTCATACTTGATTGCCTGTTGGCACATTGTCACACTTTCTACTTGTCTTTGAAAAATCTGCTTTTAAGTTTTAATTGATACTACTATCTCGTTAAAGCTCTTGGTCCTAGAAACATTTATTAATCCAAAGGACTGAAATAAAAGGTTAGCAAGCCAAAATACAGTTGATCCTCATTAACAGATTCCTTATTTGCACATTCACCTCACTAAAATTTATTTGTAACCCCAAAATCAACATTTGAGGTGCTCTTCTGGTCATTTGTGGGCATACAGAGTGGTAAAAAATTTAAATCACCTGATGTACAAAAAAAGTGATTCTCTGCCTTTTCATACGGTAAACAAGTATTCTTTTCATGAGTTAGTGCCTTGTTTTTTTTTCAATCTTTGTGCTTTTTACTGGTGTTTTCTCTGCTTAAGATGACCCCTAAGCTAATGAAGTGCTACCTAATGTTCCCCAACACAAGACGGCTGTAATGTGCCACCATGAGTTGTTGGTGTTGGTTGTGAGTTCAGTATTAAGGAATCAACATATCAAATAAGGTGTCTTTTAAACAAACGCACATGAAACAAAAATATGGTCAGAGGCTCACAGGAACATGTATTTCCCCTAGGAACAGTGGTGGTGTATTTTCAGCAACTTTCTAGAACATAACTACTTTGAATAACAACTATACCTTCATACCCCTTTCCATGGGAAATATGTAAAAGATTTATCCTATACAAAAGCCATGGCTGCCTCATTATACTCCTAAAACATAACAAATAGACTTGACCAGATTTTAAACAAGGATGGAAAATAAACTAAAAGAGCAGATATACCCCAACTTTGGAACACTCCTAAACACGTTCCAACACTAAATATGATCACCATTATTTTGACCTTCAAAGTCTGTATTCTCTATTAATAAGAACTTTAAGATGGTTTAATAAGATTTAGATGGCAGGTAGCATACATTATCATCTTAAAGCTAAACGTAAGTACTGCTGGAGACCACAGCCTAACTATTTCATTTGGGTGTTTTATACCAATCCTTTGGTTAAGATCCTTAAATATTTTATGTTAGAGCAATAGTAAGCCATTTGGCCTCAAATGTAATTTAACTATATCACTGCATAAATTCTCAGAGTCCAAGCTAAGTATTTTGATAACAGAGCATTTCAGTTTAGCTAATTGTGTTTAGGCTTGGTCATAACTAATGCAAAACTTTTGATTATGTAAAATTTTATTATAAATGGTCAGTTTCTTAAGGGGCTAGGTGAATACACTGTAAATATTTTCTTGATTAGAAACAAGACATACTTTAATCTTTTTCAAGTTTTTTAATGCATGAAATCTGAATTCTGTCATTGATACACATAACATCAAGTTTTTAGGTCAAAGACGGGGCTAAACTCACTTTTAAATTCACAGCTCCAAGCACCTGAGCCAGCTCTTTGTACCTTGACAGTCTTTCCTCCCAATGAGATGAATCTACTATAACAACTTGTACTAATTCCATCATATTTATCACATTGTATTTTAATTACCAATTTACCAGTTTCATTAGACTGGGGTTCCTTGAGAACACAGACTTTCACATTCACTTTGCCTTTAAGTATCAAATTATTTACTAAATGAGTAATGATTAGTATTTCTATTCAAATGGTATATATCCATTATTGAGCATTACTCTCCAAATATTCCATACTCTGATTTAAAGTCCTCAAATTTAAACATACCAAGGCTTTGACTTAGTTTGTGCTAAATCATTTTTAAAATGTGTAGCTTCAGGACATTTTATTATAAAAAGCTAATACTCATATACATAGCTAATAAGAACTTAAAATTCATCATACATTTACTTCATTTTTTAGCTTGACCTTCTAGTAAATCTTTCGCTTCATTGATTTTGGCTGCTATATAAGGAGATCCTCCTATAGGAAAAAAGAAAAAAGGAATAATGTTACATGGGTTCTCAATTTCTGCTTAGTGAAAAGCTATTCTTGTTTCATTGATCCATATGCTTATCTGAGAGGTGCAATTAGAAATAGTATTCTGATTTTTAAAAATAATGATAATTACTATATGGTAATATATTTGACCAATGGGAAATGAGATTTCCACAAAAATGGCACCTTGTAAAAAGCTTAAATTGTTGACAGAATAGGATTGCACAAAACCTACAGACTTATGTACCTCTGAAATAATGTAAGCTACCTACCTATACATGATGATTACAAGTCATAAATGAACAATTTATTGTACTATGTTATTTTAAAACCTTGGTATTCTTAGAGGCTTCTGAGCTTTGTTGGAAAGGCCTCACTTTGCTTTAGGTCCTTTTTCTGCCCTTCATAGTTTTTCTTTTCCTGTTATTGTCCCTTTACAATGTCATGTACAGTCTTTTTCCTACTAATCTACTGGAGAAGTGATTCTCAAAGTATGATTCAGCAAGCATCAGCATCAAGAAGAAGACTGGTAGAAATGTGAATTTATGGGCTCCACCCTAGATTTTAATCAGAAGCCCTCCAGTTAATACAAGGTAAATTTCACGAAAGAGGCAATGCAGTCAGACACAAAAAAAATTACAACCGTGTTTTAACTCAAAGTCCTTTTAATGAAAGGCCTCTCCTATAAAAGGATTTGAGCATTGGAATATGGATTTTTGTGGTCTATATTTTGGCCTTCCAAGGAATTATTTCAACACAGCTAAGGCTGCTTAGAAGTGTTATCAAAAACTAATAAATACATTCAATAGGTTTCTAACTATGTACCCTCAAGTTCAAAGGTCTAAATCAATAGGAAAATTACATTTTTGGCTTCATTAACTGAAATTGAACATTTCCTTTAAGAATGCAGTCCAAACCCCAGCCCCCCAAAACGGTAGGATTAGAAGAATTTGACTACTAGCAGTCAAATTTTATCACAATTGCAGATCTCAAAACATTGTTAATACTTATCACTACTTCCATATTATAGTAGTTATTAAGAATCTGCTCATTACTCTCTAAATAAAATTTTCACTCAATTTACACCAACAACAAATGGATCCAGCCTGGGAGACAGTGCTCCCACACAGATTTAGGCATTTTCTTTATTATAAGCCAAGAATTAGATATAAAATTATCCCATTAATAACAATTACATAGTCACTTCAAGATGTATAAGAAGAGTTTAATGACTACTTACCCTTGTCTGGGTGATTTAAAAGCATAATTCGTCGATGAGCATCTCTTATTTTTCCCTTATTGGCAGTAGGGCTGATTTAAAAAGGAAAGGTATTGTTTACTTCAGACTATTACTGGATCACATAAAAAAACTGTACATAAAGGGCAATTAAAGATGCAAAACTGGATGGAGTAAGTCACAACAGTATGAAAAGCTGTTTAGGAACCTCTTCCCTAACATACAAGGAAGATGAATATTTTGAATCAGGAACTAAACAGCTCCTGAGAAAAACAAGGAATTTTCAAAAATTTAATTGAGCTTGATAACATTCATTTCAACAGCCCTTTTATTGGAAATTTAAGTATTTGGAGATGAGGGCAGAATTTTCCCACAAAAACTTACAGAAAACAACACTGAGTGTTGTGATTATGTTGCAAGTTTATCTTTTAATGAATTAAAAAATGCTTATGTGCCAGTATGCCTTACCATTGGAATTTTGTAGGGAGTGTTTAGGTGTTAAAAATGTATGATACAGCCCGGCTGGGTGTGGCTCAGCAGTTGAGCATCGACCTAGGATCCAGGCAATCAGGGTTCAATTCCAGGTCAGGGCACATGCCTGGGTTGCGGGCTCGATCAATAACACTCTCATCATTGATGTTTCTCTCTCTTTCCCTCTCCCTTCCTCTCTCTGAAATCAATAAAGATACATTTAAAAAAAATAAAATGAATTCACTTTAAAAAAAAAAGGTATGATACAAATAACTCCCTCCTAATGAAAAAAGGTCTTTCTTACATTTGCTAATAGCTCTAGAGTTGTAGAAAAATTTTAAAATATTAGAAGTTATTTTACCTTACACCTAGTATTAATGCTGCTTCCCGTTTTGTCATTTTGGGTTCAAACCCACCTCTGTAATAGCCACCACTGAAGGCCTGAAAGAGGAAATGCATTAATAAAAGATTATGAGAATAAACTGAGAGTTGCTAAAAAATGTTTGTAAATGTTCATAGAACTAGCAGAAAAACTAAGGCATTTCAGATAACTTTAATTCCCATGGTATTTGAGCTTTATAAGTAGCATCAAATATTTTAATGATCATTAAATATCCATTTTTTTCTTAGACAACCTAAACTGTCTTGACAATATAAGACAAAAGGGCAGGGCCTCAAAGCCAGTTTTTCTGGGAGTGCAGGGAAGATTCCAACTTAGCCATGTTCTACATAAAAATTTGATCTCATAGTATGCGTTTTGTAGTCAAGAAGAGGATTTAAAGATCTTTGAGGTAAGTGGATCAAGGGTATTTTGAGGTTTAAGGCAACTACTAAAGACTCAAATATGTATGTATGGATGTTTGGAAATTTACCCTCTTCAAGTGTAGTTCTAGGCTTCATTAACAGGCAGCAAAGAATTAGCAAAAATGTTTAGGAAGTCTTACAGATTTTGGTAGACTTTGAAAAACTTGTTTCACTTGAGGCTCCATATGCTTCATGGCTTGCAAAACATAACGGCCTAAAAACAAAAGTAATAGAAAAATTAAAAAGTCCTCAACCTCCCCTGCTTCACTTCCACCCCCAAACCACAAACCAACCTGCAAATCCTGCAGCAGCAATGGTCAGTCCAACTGCTACCACTGTACTGGCCTGGTAAGGGGAAGCAGAGTAAGTATTCTCTAATTCCCACCCTTCCCTCTCACACCCCCTCTCCCATCCCAACTCGTTACGAGTTTTATTTCAATGGGAGAAACACCTTTTAAGGTGAAAATATTCTGCACAGTAATGCTTTAAAATGACAACTTTTATATCCCATGCACTGCAAAGGCAGCTGAGTTAAGACGCCTCTAGGGGAGAGAACGATTTCCCTCCCTTTGAAAACCTCTCTTTCACCTCAGGGCAAATGAAAGTTACACTGAAGTCCGATCAAAGCAAAAGGAAAAAGTTTGTGCTCGAAAAGAACTGTTTTCAGAGGGTTCCTGGAAATTCCTGATAACGCACTTCCATGTTAAACGTAGGCTTAACGAAAGCACCTTCGGCAGGGTCCCGCCTCACGGCCAGAGAGCACGAGAAGCGCAAACAGGCTTCAGGGTCGAGGAGAGATGTCAGCAAGAGCCCGGTGGGGAGCGCAGCGAGGAGGTGCTGCGGGGGAGGCAGGTGTAATCGAATGCGTTCCCCCTCGCCGCGGAGCGCCGGGCGGCGGCCAGGGGCTGGAGCCCCTGGAAGGGGTCTGCGGGAGAGCCGACAGCTCCGTGTTCCGGAGAGCGTGACCCAGCGCCCGGGCCAACGCCCTCGGCCCACGGTCGCGCGAGGTAGACGCCGGCGGCTCCCCTCCTCCGAGGCCGTGAGCCGAGGCTGGGGTCTGGGCCCGGGATCGCCCGGGACACCCGAAGGCCGCACTCACCATGGCTCCGGCTCGGCTCCCCTGCCTCCCCCGAGAGCGCGGCTCATCCCAGCCCGGAGGCCGCGGCCACCGCCTCCACGCCTCTGCCAGAAAGCAAGGCGGCCGCCCCCCGCCGGGACAAAACTCGCACACACTGGCCGCGCACTCACGGCAGTGGCGGCCGCAGCCTAGGCCGGAAAACTGTCGTAAAAGGTGAACGCCGCCGGGAGGCAAGGTCGCTCCTCGGGCGGGCAGCGGAACGCGCCTTCCGATTGGCGGGGGGCGGGAGGCTGCCCCCGCTCGGGGCTCAGAGGTGGGGCTTCTCGGTGTTCTGCGCTTCCCTCCCGGGACCGGGGTGTTTGGAAACTCCTTCAGAGGTGTTGGTGTAGACGAGCCTGAGGGAATACTGTTTAGCCTTACTCTGAATTTCCCTCTCTCCCAGAACCTCCATTTGCTATTTATTGTTTCCGTTTTTTGTTTTTTTTTTTAAATTGTTGTTGTTGAGAGCATTACAGATATCCCCCATTTTTGCCCGTTTGCCCCCCTCCACCCGGCCTTCACCACACTGTTGTCTGGGCCCATGGGCTATGCATATAAATTCTTTGGTTAATCGCTTCCCGTCCTGCCCGCCCCCGCCCCCCATCTGCCAGTCTGTTCCATGCGTCCATGTCTCTGGACTGACTTTGTCCATCAGTTTATTTTGTTCATTAGATTCCACATATAAGTGAGATCATGCCATGTATTTTGTTTATAACTGTCAAGGGTAATGCTGTCTTAAGCATGCCTTAATAGTTCCATCACGAAGCCAAATAAATAGGTAGTAACCCGTTATAGCAAACGTGAGGCTGTGCCAGGAAACCAACCCGCAATGTTTCAGGGGTTGCTGGGTAACATTCCTTTATTTAAAATTTTTTTATTTAAATATGTGACCTGACAGGACCTTGTGTCAATGTTTGGGGTTTTGTTTTGCAGAATGGAATTACCCCTTAGAAGATATTTAATATTCTGATTATGGAGTATCGATCGAAATCTCCACAACAGAAAAATGCTATTTCTATTTACAGTTCTCCCTCTCTCCTAATATCAAAAGTAGGGTGTGGTTTTGCATCACTTTCATATATCCCTACATAAATGCTTGAGAAAAGTAATGGGAGACAATAATGGAAGTTTTACAATGCAACCTGTGGATGAGCAAAATAAGTTTAGAATTACTTTCCAAAGTATTAGAAATCTGTTTACATTACAATGAAATTCTACTTTGATGAGCAGGTTACTAGACAAATTTTCAAATTTGTTAGCTTTGTTTTTCTTATCTATAAAGATTCTGCATTGGTATCTCCAAGAGCTTTTCTAACCCTGAGATTTTTTTTTTTTTTTTTTAATATCTTTATTGATTCCAGAGAGAGGAAAGGAGAGGGGGAGAGAGAGACAGAAACATCAATGATGAGAGAGTCACTGATCGAGCCCACAACCGGGGCATGTGCCCTGACCGGGAATCGAACCCCGATCGCCTGGATCCTAGGTGGACCCTCAGCCGCTGAGCCACGCCTGTCTGGGCACTCTGAGTAGTTTTAGCTGAAATAGATTTAATAAAGGATATTAGGTTAGGGAAGTTTTCTGCCTTTTTTTCTTCAAACAAGTTCTCTAACCCTTGCTTACTTCCTACCTCTCTGGCACTCCTCTGATGCAAATATTGTTTCATGTTGTCCTACAGCTCCCTTAAACTGTCCTCCTATTTTTTAATTGTTTTTTCTTTTTGGTTCTCTAATTGAGTGATTTTTTTCTACCCTGTCTTCTAATTCACTAATCCTATCCTCAGCTTCCCCTAATTTGCTGTTTAATCCTTCCATTTTTTTTTTAAATTTCTGCTATGTCATTCTTAATTTCCTTCATAGTTTCCATTTCATTTTTCATGCTGTTGAGCATCCTTATGATCAGTATTCTGAACTCTATATCTGATAGATTGCTTATCTCCATTTCATTTAGCTCTACTTCTGGAGAATTCTTTTGTTCTTTCATTTGGGGTTTGTTTCTTTGTCTCCCTATTTTGGCTGCGTGTTTGGATTTGTTTCTGTGTATTAGGTAGATCTGCTAGGGCCAAAAAGAGTAGGTATTTTTCTCTAAAAGTTATGTGCCAAACATTGTGCTAAATGCTTTATGTAGATAATTTCACGTCACTCAATGACAATAGTATTTATTTCTGTTTTGCATATGAGGACATTTTGTAAGAAACACTTGTTTTCCATTCCAGATCTGTTCTCTACCATTTTCTATTCTGCTCTGTGTCCCAGAGGAGCACCTGAAGTTAGGAGGCTGACTTTAAAGGACTACCTCAATGGGCTTCTTGGTGTTCAGTTTTGTCTGCGATTGGATCAGAGGGCAGGAGGAGGGTGAGTTTATGGTCTTCATTTCTCCATTTTGTTTTCTGGTGGTGGTTCTTGAAGAATGCAGTTCCTTGCGGGGGGTGTCTGTGTGTGTCTGTGTGTCTGTGTTGTTCAGGTAATTACTCCCACTCTTTGCTCCGTTAGGCCTAAGGGTGGTAACGACTCCATTGGCCCTTTCTGCCTTGCTAGACACAGGACACTTGAAGATCATTTGCTGTTTTCCCTCAGTCTTGTCCAGACTTTTGTAAACAGTCCCTTTATTAAATCCTCAGCTATTCCATTTGGGTATGCTGTCTGTTTCCAACATGGATTTTGACTGTTATAAGAGGCAACTGAAATAATTCAAGTAGGAGATGATGATAGCAGTGGAAGTGGAAAGAAATAAATGGCTGGAGTCCTGACTATATTCTGAAGGAAGAGCTGATAGAATTTGCTGATGGGTCTGATGTAGTGGGTGTGAGAAAGAAAGGATTCAAGAGTGACTCCAAAGCTATAGCTTGGGCAGCTGGAAGGATGGAATAGAATTGCCATTTAATGGGACTAGAAAGACTTCAGAAAGAGAAAGCTAGAGGTGGGAACTTTTTCATGTTAAAATACCATGTTGAAATATCAACTTGATAGCTAACCAGTGTTTTCAAGTAGGCATTTGGATATGTATTTCTGGCATCAAGAGAGAAGTCTCAAGTTATAAGCCCATGAGTCTTTGAGTCCATGTAACAGATGAAATCATTCATTGTATGAGTGGAGAGAGAAAGAAGAAGGATAAGGACTGTATTTGGGGAATCTTCCATATTTGGAGTTTGGGGAGATGACGAAAATCAGAAAATTAGAACTGAAAGGAGTGGCCAGAAACCAGGTGAGTGTGGTGTCCTGGAAGGCAAATGAAGAAAATGTTTGGTGCAGGAACTGTAAAATGCTGCCAAGTCGGAAGAACAACTGACAGTTGACTACTGGAGATCTTTGGTGGTATTTATGAGAAGAGTTTCTGTATTGTGATGGAGTGGATTCAAGAGAGGATGGGAGGAGAAGGAGTGGAGATATAGGTCATATTACATCTCTGCAAGGAATTTTGCTGAAAAGGCAATGTAGAGAAATAGGGCAGTGCTCAGAAGGAGAAGCAGTATAAGGAGAGTTGATTTTTTTTAAGGTGGAAGAAATAAAAGCACGTTTATCTGCTATAGGAATGATCTTATAGAGGGAAAAATTTAACAAAACTCATTGAATTATATAATTTAAGAATGAGAAGAAAATGTAGAGAGCATTTCCCCCGCCCCCCCAACCAGCTTAGTTTTTTAAATGAGTAAACTGGGCCTCAGAGTGGTTGACTGACTTTTCTAAATCCCTGATAGAGTCCAGTTATCACTCAACCTTATTGTTTACTTTCCAGGTGTATATAATGTCAGGGTCATAAGATGAGAGGGTCATAGAATTGCCTTTCCCTGTATTTCCTTACCCCTCTTTTTAGGAATTAGCTCAGGTCTGGATTAATGTGGTCTAAATTCCTGACCAGCAGCCATTTAGCCCAGCTCACAGGGTGCTGTATGTAAAACTAAATGGTGCTCAGTAAATATTTCCTTCCCTTCTCCTTCATTCCACCCCTTTACCCTCTTTTTTCCGCCCATGACCCTGCCATGACCTGATAATCTACCATGGGGAATTCATTGTGTGGTTGGGGTATGAAATTCTTGGAAAGTGATCATACTGAGGTTTGATCAACAGACTCCTCTGTGAAGTGTTTTAAGAGATCCTTTTGGTGTTATAACTAATAAAAGAGAGAAAGAAGCACCATGTAGAAATTAATTGGGGTGTAGAAAGGAAAGAAGCAAGAAGAGATTTAGAGCAAGAGGGACTGAGGACAGGCCTGGGTAGGAATCATATGAGAACCTAGGGCAGTGGGGGGAGTAGATGGGATTCTGGGAAACCAGAAGGGAAGGCCAGAGGTCCGGCTACTCTTTCCTCCAGTCAGCCTCATCTACAGCCAAGTCAGGTGACCCCGCCCTGCTGGGTGGCTATTAAGCAATAATTTTTTTTTAAATTTTATTTTTGTTTGAAATATTACAGATGTCCCTTTTTTTCTCCCCAATGACCCGTTCCACCCTGTCCCATTCCTCTCCCCAGTCCCTCTCCCCACCATTGTCCGTGTCCTTGGGTTGTGCATATATGCACATCAATTCTTTAGTTTCTCTCTCCCCCTCCACCCACCCACCCTCCTCCATCCCTCTGACATTTGTCAGTCTCATCTATTAAGAAATAATTTATAACTATTTCTCCTGTGAGTTTTCTGTCCCTTTTCCTCAACTTGTTTCATTTTTTTTTTCTCACTGCATGTGTTTTAGTCTTCCTTCCTACTTTCCTTTCAAATTACATACTGCTGTGCTTGCTTAATCTGGAGCATGGGAGTAGAGGGCCAGTCAGAGAATTGCAGTGTGCTTGACCATAGTGACAGCACCCAGGAGGCATGTATTTCTGGTTAAAGGCTCTTTTCTCTTCTAGGCTGTGAGGTAGTCAGGATTTCAGGGGAAACTTAGAAATTGAGGTAACCTAGGTGCCTTTTCCTCAATGGAGATTTCCCAACAACTTTCCTTTTCATTCCATCTTTGCGCGTCTTTTTCCATTGTCTTTC